CAAGATGACATTGAGCAGAGTTCACCAACAACTAATTGCATTTCCTGGAGTCAAGACTGCTCCAGTGTGTTACTTGCCTGACCCAGCTTCCATCAACAAGCTCCAAATCCCAACATCTTCCAAGAAATCTGAACAACAAAGTTAGTATCTTGACCTTTCTCTTCATTGCTTTTCTACTTTTTTCCTTGAAAAAAATGGAGTCTAACAGTTTTTCTTCTTCTTAACAGACAAAGGAAAATCGATTCTTCGAAAGAAAAAAACCGATGGCTTCACAAATGGAGCAAAAGATCAAGGCAAGTTAAGACCAAAACTAACCGAAACAGTCAAGAGAAAGCTTTCCTTGGGAGCTAAGATACTTCAAATGGGAGGCTTAGAGAAGATTTATAAACGTCTCTTTAGAGTCCATGAAGAAGAGAAACTCTTCAAGGCATACCAATGTTACCTATCGACAACCGCGGGTCCCATCGCAGGCCTACTCTTTATCTCATCAAAAAAGATTGCTTTTTGCAGCGAGAGATCTATCAAAGTGGCCTCTCCTCAAGGAGATCTCATTAGGGTTCACTACAAAGTTTCAATCCCTTTGTGCAAGATCAAGGGACTGAACCAGAGTATGGACTCGAAGAAGCCATCTCAGAAGTACCTTGAAGTAGTCACGGTCGATGACTTTGACTTCTGGTTCATGGGATTCTTGAGCTACCAGAAAGCTATCAACTGTCTCGAGCAAGCGCTTTCTCTGAGCTTTGAGCAATAACAAGTCGAAGGTTGAAGAGGAAATATTTCATTTCTAATTTAACCATGTTTCAATCAAAGAATGTTAGGAGAGAGCTTAGAAGAGACAGAACAATAGTGTACAAACTCATTATGATTATTTTTGGTAACACTTTTGTTATCCATTGTTGACAAGAGCAAGAGATTGAATATATCTAGATGATCTCATTTGTTTTACTAATTCACATGAGTCCCCTCGTGCACTAGAACATGTTAAAGAAGATATAATTGAGAGAAAACGTTTCTATATGGGTTTGTGTCAAATATAAAGAAATTTATACATATATAATAAGAACACAAATTTGACTATATATTTAATCGTAGTTTTTAGTAAAACCGCCATTTAAACATTTAATTAGCCCTCTCTATATAAGAATACAAAAATAAAATCTCCAACTTTGTCACTAGCTAATTGATTTTTTTTTTTTTTCAAGTTTATCGGAAAAGACAAATTTAGTCGCTGTCGACAGTCTAACATTTGCTACAAAACTTTAAAACCATCTAGGAGATGCAAATAATACTTTAAAAATACAGCAAACTTCAAAATAGAGACACATTCCATTAATTTATGAACTGCCAAATCCTGTGACCAAAAAAAAAAAAAAAGAACTACCAAATCCAAGAACAAAACTACATGTATATCATTGATGCCAACAACACGCAACATCGATAAACGAGGTAGTGATGAGCGACAAAGACATTCGACAGATCACACGTAATGTTGTCTATTTTGCTGATATGTTTAAGAACATAAAACGAACAACTCACATACATGGATTTTGTGTTATTTTTTACTTTGAATTTATAAGCTTGTGGAATATGTTTCAATATGTAATCAACCTCGTATATTTCATCAATATGAAAATAACCCTAATGTTTCAAAATTTCATGAACAAATTCTTCCAAAATGAAGGTTACATTAATGACTCTACAAAAACTTAATATTATATCAATGTGGATAATTGGTAGATAATTTAACGACATCTAGTTATAATGCCGATGAATGGAGATAAGACATAGAAAAATATTATTTATCATAACTCTTCCTAATGATAGAATTAAAATCGAAGTAAGTCCTTAATGTTTCTATTTCAATTTTCACATCAAAACTCTACGAACAAATGTTTCAACGGCAACGCAGAGTTTATCTCAAGATAAAACCAACCAAAAAAAGTATCTTAAGATTCTAGTAGCACTTTTCATGGCAATAAAATTAAGAATTAAGTTTATATTTAAAAAAAATAAAAAAATTAGTTAGTCCGAATATACATGATGTTTACTGGTAACTAAAAATGGGAACACATATCTTTTATTTTAGCATGAAATTAAGGAAATGAAGGCATAAAAAAAGTCACAAATGCCAACGCAGAAAGCTTCAAAAACCACAACGTCTCCTTCTGCATGACTCAATTTGCTCTCACATATTCAAAAAGCGTTACGTAATATTTGATTTGATTTTTTCTTGTTGCATGCATGTTCAAGTTAATAAGGAAACATATCGTATCTTTTATACATATATAGATAATATCTGTTAAAAAACAAAATCAGGCTAAGAAATAAAAAGCTTTGCTCTTTGGCCAACTTGTAGGTTAAAAAGCTTGTCGGAGTCTAACGTCATACCGTGTGATCA